GTGTGTGTTTGTATGTGTGCTCGCGCGTGAATGGTTATGTGCATTGGTGTGTGTAATTTTGTGCTGGCTGGTTTGTTAGAGCAACACACTTATTAAACGAACGCTTGGATTTGTGTGCTTTGCTTGATGTTTTATTTGCTTTCGAGGGAGAGGGCGGGTAATGTGTTGGGGACCGGGAGGGGGGAGGGGGGCTATTAGTGAGAGTGTGTATAGTTTAAACCTTTTAGTAGAGGCTTTACGGCGCTCGTAACTGCATAAGGTCATATGAGCGCCAGAAGATTAGAGGTGTTACAAGAGAGTAACAAACATAAAAAAGAAGGGGATATAAGGACGAAAGATGTTTGATAGGAAGAGCATCCGCCAACCACCCACTGTTTGAGTTAAAAGAGATGTTTTAGTATTTTAGTTTAGTAGGAGTTTTACGGCACTTGCAACACAATAAGGTCATATAAGTGCCGAAAAAAGAGATGTACATGGACGAACATACAGACACGTCATTTAGTGAAGGGAAAAAAACTAAGACAAAAAGAAAGAACAGAAGTAAAAACTAGAAGTCGGCTATAAGCCGCAATATTCATTTTTTTCTTGGTAAGAGTTTTACAGCACTTGCAACACAATAGGGTCATATAAGTGCCGAAGTTTAGATTTTTGTTTTAGTAAGAGTTTTAAGGCACTTGCAACACAACAAGATCATATAAGTGCCGAAGATTAGAGGTGTTATAAGAGAGTAACAAACACAAAGAAGGAGGAGAGATCAGGACGATAGATGTTCGATGGGAAAGAAGGGGCAAACCACACCAGAGCACCCACCAACCACCCACAAGCCGCAATAAAAGAAAGTAATAAACTGTCATTGATCAGTAAATATGGTACCACTTTCGGTGTGCTGGAAGTGAGAGATCAGCCTTAACCGGAGTGACTCAGGTCCCAGATTTACGCCCAGTTTTCTTGTGTACGCATTGCGGACATTATACAGACATATACCTCTCTCTCTCCCTCTCCTTTTTCTCTTTCTTTTCTCCCCCTCTCTCTCTCTCTCTCTTTCTTTTTTTTCCGTCCCCCCCCTCTCTTTCTTTTTATTTTATTTTCTCCCCCTCTCTCTTTGTTGCTTGTCCCCCCCCTCTCTCTCTCTCTCTCTCTC